TAAAAAAATATTATTTTTTCGAAGCCTGCAGAATATATATAAATATACTGTTGATGTTCATAAAAGAGCTCGCACAACGATTGGATTTAATAATTTAATGTTAATCGGACAAGTGTATAGACTGCAATAAACACTTTATTATTATTATTATATTATATTATATTATATTTAAAATGAACAACATTGTACTATACTTGCAGTTGGAAATGAAATAGCAAAAAGAGTATAATAACAATATTTTTGCAAATAGTGAAAACTATATCTATGATTTGTAGCGGATGTAAAAGAAATTTTATTATTTTATTAACAGACAATAATAATTATTATAACTGACTACAATTATCATTTTCAAAAAAGTATAATACATATCGATACATTCGCATATGCATAAAATTATATTTACAAAACTTTTATTATTTTAAAATTAAATAAAATGATGCAACAAAAGTTAACAAGTTAGAGAATTAATATTACGAAGAATCTTTCTTGAGAATATTTTCTTGTTGCGCACATAAAGTCTTAAAGCAAAACGAAGAATTTAAAATATTCGATTTTGTGTTTGGATATCTAAATTCCATTTATACATGTGAACACATGCGCGCTACACGCGTTACGTTTCTTCATAAATAAATGCACTGTACTCGGTTTAGGTAAACGTAGGCGGAGGCTCTAATCTGAAAACACGACGGTCCTTTTAGTGCAGCTCCTCGATACGTCGCCACGTGCCTTTGTACAGTTGTGCACAGATGCGATTTCGGTTGAAAATTAATTTCATTCACACTGTGACGTAAAGTACAATCCCGTGTTCTCCCCCCCTCCGTAAGTACGGGTAGAAGCACATTCCTCTTCTTTTCATGCAGCGATGTCAAAAGGTCACGGACGGAAATAGAAGTTCCTTGATAACCGGGTAGACAAGGCATTCGTGGATCCATTTTTCTCGATGGATCTTAAGAGCTCATTTGCGAGGAGATAAATATACGATGAAGGACTGTGAAACGCGTATTTTTCGATTAAAAAGCTCCATAACGCGTAATCAGAATTCATAGATATTTTTTATCATTAATCAGGATTAAAGATCGTCGTGCCGAATGATCGGTTTTAATTGTGATGCAATGTCGAAATGTATCTTGTGATTAGTGCTATGCAATTCAGCACTAATTGCCGTATCATAAATTGTGCGCATGTAAATTACAATACGTCGTTAAGCTAAATAGTTTACATAACCGTTTATACTATATGTATCATACCGAGACGAGAAGCGTTTAAGGGATATAATTATGCAAAACATATCAAATCAATTTTTTAAAAAATATTTTAAAATAAATAAAAAATGAGATAGGAATTATAATTTTTTAGAATAGATTTAACATAACTTTTCAGAGTATTAACTTTTATCGTCAAAATTATTAACTAGATCAATTTTATGGTTTTTAAATAGTCATATTGTTATGAATTTTTTTCAAATTTATAAAATTGTTATTTTTTTTTTTATTGGTCATTCTATGTACATCACGTAACTTAAATGACACTATCCTGGCGACATGTTTTAATGAAAGAAAATAGGCGAAAATCAAGGCAAGGTAGAATCAAATTTGTATTCTCAATGTTATTTTTAGTCACATAATTGAGGGCGACGCGTGCACGTTAGTTTATGGTTTCGATCCTGAAGGGGTAGCCCACGTCGAACTTCCGTCGAGCGTAAGCGGGCCAAGTTAATTACTGGAATTAATGTGGTCCGACGGCGTTAATCCGCGCACGGCACGCGAGCCAATCAAGAGGTCAGATAAGAATTAAATGGCATCGGGCCGACGCCTCGTTAGCCGTCCCGTGTCGGACATAAATTTCACGCTAAGCCCGATTCACCCGTTCGACCGAGTTCACGCCGACAGAAGAGAATCTCATGTTCACGATCGCTCCACTACGAATTGGCCACTCGCATTATTGTGCACGTGCTACTTTGCTGACACATGTTCAACTAGCGTATGTTGTGTACATGATGGTTCGGATTTAACGTTCACTTTTTTTTAGCTTTTGAAGATGCAAAGAATGACTGAATCAAATTGTAACACATCAAATTGTGACACATTCAATTCATATTTTCTTTATTTATTTATAACGTTTTCAAATTAATTTAATATAAATATTATCTATTTTTAAAAATCTTTACTTATATCTTATAATTTAATATTTGTAAGAATGCGCCCGAGAAACTCAAAAAGATCATTAATTATGTTAACAATTTTGATATTTTTAATTGGAAAAAATATTCAAGTTCTGCGAGTTTCTACTTTCTGAATGATCAAGTAAATATATGCATCGTTAACTGTAAATTATGTCAGTCGTTAGGTATATCAATTACCGTGAATTCGATCGTCGTGATTAATCCGTTCGACCGCCTTACGCTTGATCACTATAATTTTCTCGCTGTCGAGGTCACAAGAGAGACGTTGATTACGGGGATATAGGTGGACGATATAGGTGGTCGGCTAGATCGATAATTATGATTTTCCTAAGTGATAGTTAATGACATCTTAGTTTTTATTATATAACGGTTACATCGGCATGATCTCTAATAACAGTTAATTTGTTTCTGTTATTATGTAAATTTAGTTATTAATTAGCATAATCATACTGTTTACTAATTTTGTTTTTGTTTATTATTACTTGAAATAAATCCGAACGAACAAATTTTAATATCCCATGAATAATATACGGAAAAGTTTTATTACAAAGTTATAGCGAAACGTTCAAATATTCAAACGTAAGAAGTAAACACCGAACTATGTAAAAATATAATGGCTAGAAAGTATGTGTACAGATGAATAAATAAAAGAAGAATCGAAATTTCAAGTACTTTCTTTCCACACACACACACACACACACACACACACACACACACACACACACACACACACACACACACACACACACACACACACACACACACACACACACACACACACACACACACACACACACACACACACACACACACACACACACACACACACACACACACACACACACACACACGACACACGACA